AAAAAAAAAAAAAACCCAAAAAACAAAACAAAACAAAAAAAAACAGGCATTGCAATCCTAGTCTCTGATAAAATAGACTTTAAATCAACAAAGATCAAAAGAAACAAAGAAGGGCATTACATAATGGAAAAAGGATCAACACAACAAGAAGAGCTAACAATCCTAAATATATACACACCCAATACAGGAGCACCCAGGTACGTAAAGTAAGTTCTTAATGACCTACAAGGAGACTTAGACTCCCACACGATAATAGCGGGAGACTTTAACACTTGACTGTCACTATTAGACAGATCCATGAGACAGAAAACTAACAAGGATATCCAGGACTTGAACTCAGATCTGGACCAAGCAAGCCTCATAGACATCTACAGAATTCTCCACCCCAAATCCATAGAATATACATTCTTCTCAGCACTGCATTGCACATACTCTAAAATTGACCACATAATTAGAAGTAAATCACTCCTCAGCAAATACAAAAGAATGGAAATCATAATGACCAGTCTCTCAGACCATAGTGCAATCAAATTAGAACTCAGGTTTAAGAAACTAACTCAGAACCACATAATTTCATGGAAGCTGAACAACTGGATCTTCAACGCTGACTGAATAAACAATGAAATGAAGGCAGAAAAAAAGATGTTCTTCGAAACCAATGAGAACAAAGATACAACATACCAGAATCTCTGGGATACATTTAAAGCAGTGTCTAGGGGAAAATTTACAGGAATAAATGCCCACATGAGAAGTAAGGAAAGATCTAAAATCAACACCCTATCATCACAATGGAAAGAGCTAGAGGAACAAGAGCAAAAAAACTCAAAAGCTAGCAGCAGACAAGAAATAACTAAGATCAGAGCAGAACTGAAGGAGATCGCGACAGACACAAAAAAACCCTTCAAAAAATCAATAAATCCAGGCGCTGGTTTTTTGAAAAGATAAACAAAATAGACAGGCTCCTAGCCAGATTAATAAAAAAGAAAAGAGAGAAGATTCAAATAGATGCAATAAAAAATGATAAAGCGGATATCACCACCAAGTCCACAGAAATACAAACTACCATCAGAGATTACTATGAACAACTCTATGCACATAAACCAGTAAACCTGGAAGAAATCGATAAATTCATGGACACTTGCATCGTCCCAAGCTTAAACCAGGAACAAGTCGAAACCCTGAACAAATCAATAACAAGGGCTGAAGTTGAGGCAGCAATTAATAGCCTACCAACCAAAAAAAGCCCAGGTCCACATGGGTTCATAGCCAAATTCTACCAGACATACAAAGAGGAGCTGGTACCACTCCTTCTGATACTATTCCAAACAATCCAAGAAGAGGGAATCCTTCCTAAATCATTTTATGAGACCAACATCATCCTGATACAAAATCTCGGCAGAGACTCAACAAGGAAAGAAAACTTCAGGCCAATATCCATGATGAACATAGATGCAAAAATCTTCAATAAAATCCTGGCAAACTGATTGCAACAGCATATCAAAAAGCTTATCCATCACAATCAAGTAGGCTTCATCCTGGGGATGCAAGGCTGGTTCAACATATGCAAGTCTATAAACGTTAATTCAGCACATGAACAGAACCAAAGATGAAAACCACATGATTATCTCAATAGATGCAGAGAAGGCCTTTGACAAAATTCAACAGCCCTTTATGCTAAAAACTCTCAATAAACTAGGTATCGATGGAAGGTATCTCAAAATAATAAAGGCTATTTATGACAAAGACACAGCCAATATCATACTGAATGGACAAAAACTGGAAGCATTCCCTTTGAAATCTGGCACTAGACAAGGATGCCCTCTCTCACCATTCCTATTCAATATAGTATTGGAAGTTCTAGCCAGAGCAATCAGGCAAGAAAAAGAAATAAAGGGTATTTAATTAGGATAGGAGGAAGTCAAATTGTCTCTAATTGCAGACAACATGATTGCATATTTAGAAGACCCCATCCTCTCAGCCCAAAATCTCCTGAAACTGATAAGCAACTTCAGCAGAGTCTCGGGATACAAAATCAATGTGCAGAAATAACAAGCATTTCTATACAGCAACAACAGACTTAAAGAGAGTCAAATCAAGAACGAACTGCCATTCACAACTGCTACAAAGAGAATAAAATACCTAGGAATACAACTAACTAAGGCTGTAAAGGACCTCTTCAATAAGAATTACAAACCACTGCTCAAGGAAATAAGAGAGAACATAAATAGATGGAAAAACATTCCATGTTCATGGTTAGGAAGAATCAACATTGTGAAAATGGCCATACTGCCCAAAATAGTTTATAGATTCAACACTATCCCCATCAAGCTACATATGACCATCTTTGCAGAACTGGAAAAAACCACCTTAAACTTCATATGGAACCAAAAGAGAGCCCAAATAGCCAACATAATCCTAAGCAAAAAGAACAAAGCTGGAGGCATCACGCTACCTGATTTCAAACTATACTACAAGGCTACAGTAATCAAAACACCATGGTACTGGTACCAAAACAGAGATACAGAGCAATGGAACAGAACAGAGGCCTCAGAGGCAACGCCACACATCTACAACCATCTGATCTTTGACAAACTTCACAAAAACATGCATGGGGAAAGAATTCCCTGTTTAATAAATGGTGTTGGTATAACTGGCTAGCCACGTGCAGAAAGCAGAAACTGGACCCCTTCCTGACACCTTACACTAAAATTAACTCCAGACAGATTAAAGATTTAAACATAAGACCTAACACCATAAAAACCCTAGAAGAAAACCTAGGCAAAACCATTCAGGATATAGGCATAGGCAAGGACTTCATGATTAAAACACCAAAAGCATTGGCAACAAAAGCCAAAATAGACAAATGGGATCTAATTAAACTCCAGGGCTTCTGCACGGAAAAGAAACAGTCATTAGGGTGAACTGGCAACCAATAGAATGGGAAAAAATTTTTGCAATCTACCCATCTGACAAAGGGCTAATATCCAGAATCTACAAAGAACTAAAATAGATTTACAAGAAAAAAACAAACTCATTGAAAAGCGGGTGAAGGACATGAACAGACACTTTTCAAAAGAAGACATACATGAGTCCAACAAACATATGAAAAAATGCTCATCATCACTGGTCATTAGTGAAATGCAAACCAAAACCACATTGAGATACCATCTCACGTCAGTTAGAATGGCGAATTTAAAAAATCTGGAGACAACAGATGCTGGAGAGGATGTAGAGAAATATGAACACTTTTACACTGTTGGTGGGAGTGTAAATTAGTTCAACCATTGTGGAAGACAGCATGGCAATTCCTCAAGGATCTAGAAATAGAAATTCCATTTGACCCAGCAATCCCATTACTGGGGGTATATATCTAAAGGATTATAAATCGTTCTATTAAAAAGGCACATGCACACGTATGTTCATTGTGGCACTGTTTACAATAGCAAAGACCTGGAACCAACCCAAATGCCCATCGATGATAGACTAGATAAGGAAAACATGGCCCATATACACCATGGAATACTATGCAGCCATAAAAAATGATGAGTTTGTGTCCTTTGTAGGGACATGGATGAATCTGGAAACCATCATTCTCAGCAAACTGACACAGTAACAGAAAATCAAACACTGCATGTTCTCACTCACAGGCAGGTGCTGAATAATGATAACACATGGACACAGGGAGGGGAGCATCACATACTAGGATCTGTTGGAAGGGACTAGGGGAGGGACAGCGTGGGGTAGGTAGGTTAGGGAGGGATAACATGGGGAGATATGCCAGATATAGGTGACGGGGATGGAGGCAGCAAACCACATTGCCAGGTATGTGCCTATGCAACAATCCTGCATGTTCTGCACATGTACCCCAGAACCTAAAAACAAACGTTAAAACACACACACACACACACACACACACACACACACACACACACACACAAACAAACAAAACAAAACAAAACAAACAAACAAACAAAAACAGAAGTATAACACATCCCCAACAGCTTGATTTCCTTCCTGCGATGGGTCTCTGGAAATGGCAATTCCATTGTATCATTTTGGAGTTGTTCAATCTCCAAAGGTAGTTATCTTGATTCCTCTGTCTCACGCTCCCACCCCCACCGCAGTAAATCCTGGAGGCCTGACCCTCAAAATATATTCAGAATCTTAGCATTTCTTACCCATTCCACTGCTACCACTCAAGTCCAAGTCACTAACAAATTTTGGGTGGATTATAGCAGCGGCCCCAACAATCTCTACTCTCTCCTTTGTCCACTATGTTCTCTACACATCAACTGAAGAGATACTATTACTACTTATTTTATTTCAGATAAAGTCATTCCTTCAACATTTCCCTGCTTCATTCCAAGCTAAAGCTAAAGCCCCTTCCCACTTAGTCCCTGTGATCTTTTTCACCTTGTCCATCATTCTTATTCTCAGTCCCTTCAGTCTGGCCACCTTGGCCTCCTCGCTTTTATTTTCACACACACCATGAATGCTCCTTCCTTAGGGCTAGCACCAGTGTTCACCTTCTACTCAGATATTTGGGGGCATGCCTTGCTCTCTCTCATCTCCTTAGGTCTCTGCTCAAAACTCTGCTTTATTTTTTTTTTACTTAACTTATTGCCAATGAACGCTGATTTTCTAAATGTACTTTATTGCATTTATCGTCTGCCTCCTTCCCCACTCCCCTCCACTCCCACTGCAAGGAATATAAGCGAGGCACATAGTAAATGTTCAATAAAATTGAGTGAATGAGATGTCATGTTATTTATTTTGAAGAGCAGCTATTTTCCTGAGCATCTCTAAAACATTTTATGAATCACATAAGGTAATAATGTATTATGACAATAAACAATCCCAATACTTAAAGAAAGAAAGTTCATATTATCAAAACTTACAATTATCCATCCAAAATATTATAGGTGGTGGTAATCCAATTGGGGGTCTGCAGGGAAGTACTAAAGATTGACCATTTTGAAGTGTGATTGGTTCAAGTTTTTCTTTGGTCCACAATGGTGATCCTATTAAATATATTTTTTTAAAAAAGCTTCTCAGTTATTTCTGCATTGAAAAGTACAAAAAGAAAGCACTACAGATAAAGGCAAACTGAACTTTTGGAGAAACAATTTGTAGTTTATGTATACTAAATTAATGAGAAAATAAATTTAAAAGCAATGTTAAAAGAAAAAAAAGTAAAAATTCTAAAAATGACGATTTTCAGGCATTGCCACTGATAGTATACATTCTCATTCAGTGATTCACAGCTGAGAATTTGTACTAAATACACTGTCAGGAAGACAAGCAGTTTTGACACAAGCATGTTCTTCACAAAAGAATGGAAAACACTTAAATGTCAAAAGATTTGTTAAATAAAGAATTACACATCTGCTCCTTTGACTACCACAGAGTGTCATATCAAAATACTTATTTATAAGATGGCTATGGCAATATACATGATATACCAATACGTCAGAAAAAGTTGTAAGATAGTATTTCAGAAAATGAGCTGGTTTAAAACACATACATACATGTCTGCCTAGGAAAAAATGGTAAGAATATTTGAGCAGTAGTTATTTTCTTGAATGGAAGGATTTTCATGAACAGGTTTTTAAATTTCTTTTTTATTTATAATTAGTTTTCTGCAATGAACATGTATTACACATGTAATACAGTTTTTTTAAAGAAATAAGCCGAACTGAAAATGTGATTAAATACATGCTCTTAAAGTTTTTGAGAGGATTTTGGTATTAACCATTGCAAAAAGAGCCATAATAATATTGAGGTAGTGAAGACACCCCATTTCCAGTAAAAATTTGAAACAAAAATATTTAAAGAAATAGCATTTAGACCTTGATCACCATATCATACTGAATTTATTTCCATTTGACTGCAGGAATTATACTTTTATAGGGAATACATAAGAAATAAATAATTAGATAAACTGAGGGAAGAAACACTTTTTTTTTTTTTTAACCCTGATGTCTTACACAGGACTTGTATAAAAGATACACTGGGTTGTTGGTAAAGCATTAGGCTGAGAAGCTTGTTAGGGTAAGGCAGAAAGGAGCAATAATTTTCATGCAAAACAAAGTCAGAATATTGGAAGCAATGCCACTGCTTTCTTGAATAGTATCTGGATGATGTCATAGAAGCTGAGGCTTGGAGCAATACTTTAAAAAGTGTCATGATGGTTTCCACTTACGGGATGGGCGGACGACAATGTTATTAGAAATGGCAGCTCCGCGTTCGTTCCTTGCTGTACACTGATAGACTCCTTCATAGGTCTCAGCTTTCCCTTCACTCATGATATTAATTATGAGAGTTCCTGTGCCAGGCTTCATGGTGACCAAAGGGTCTTTATCGATGTCAAAATGAGTCCCATTACGGGTCCAGGAAAAGCTGCCCAACACACAAAGGGTTAAGTGTATTAATGGTCCAGAAAAAGAGGATTACTTCAATGAATTCCTAGTCGTTTTATGGGTTTCTAGAAATAATTACTAGATTTTAATATTCAGTAAAAGAGCAATAAGTCCCCATATCCAAAATGTTTCATTGACTCATGACCTGGAAACAAAGGGCAGGGTATACATTTTAAGGTACCTGTCTTCGTTAGAACTAGCCCAAATCTGACTCAATAAAGAAATCATGCACACAAATTGCCTGTCATTTTTCTCAGAAAATAGAGGGAGCAGGTCTCTCAGGTACACTCTCTTAGAGCTTTATTAGCATTTTTACTGTAAACTCTATTGTTCACAGAGTTGATAACCTGTCTATAAAAATTTGCTCAGGGCTGAAATGTGACAAGATCTCCACAAGTACTATTTATATGTGTTGAAAATTCATCAGATGAATTTCAAGTTATTAAATTGTGAAGTGTAGGTCGGGAGGAGGCTAAGAGATATAAGCTCCAGAGTGTTTTAAATGTTGCTTATTAAAATTAGTAACTCTACATAAAGCACATTTTGAGAATTTTTAATTCTAGAGATGATTTTGTGAATCCCTTGGGAGGTATGCCCAATTGTCAACCGAGATTCCTCTTTTTCCATTTTATTTTTATAAAAGATTGAGTTATATAAAACTTATGGTGCTCATGTAATTAAATATTTTACAGTTAGTCACAAATCAATGATGGCCATTGCTCATACAAAGGCACAAATCTCTAAAAGTCACGGTGTGTTCCAGGCCTACTTGGATTTCCCTTCTCACTACTTATCCTTATAGCAGTCATTGTCACAATCAGGGCAGGACGTGGTGGTGTGGATGCTACTGGTACCTTGTGGGCAGAGGTCAGGGATGCTGCTAAATATCCTACAATGCACAGGATATTTCCACCCCTCAAACAAAATATTATCCCACTCCATAAATCAATAGTGTCGAACAGGAGAAATCCTGCTTTATAGTGAGTTACAGAAGGCATTAATTGTAAAACTGAAAGGAAACCCCATCAAAGGATACCACATCAGGCCTTCTGTGAGAGGGGCTTTCCAATAATATAGCTGAATATATTATTTTGAGTCAAACCTTTGTTGGAAGTTTTGACACAGTACATATTCAGTATCAGTTAATTTTTTCTTGGGGGCCAGTTTGTGATAGTTTAACAAGGCCTGCAACAATAGACAAACTTGGAAATAACCAGAAACTTTCACTTCTTTATTACTTAAAAATCCATATTACATTTTAATAATAATAATCCAACTCTCCAAAACTCGCATATATGACTGGAAAAGTTACAGATGGTGCCTGAATAAGTTACGTAGCATTAGTAGACATCAGTTTCCCATCTACACAATGTATTGGTTGGACTGGGTTACCTCTTAACATCTCCCCCAACTGTAAAATGCTATGCAGTGATCTAAAATGCTATGCAAGATCCACATGGCATGAATCCTCAGGACTGAACTCTGCCAAGTTTGGAAAACCACTTAAGACTATTTTATAAACTGTTATAGAGACAGCAGAGATCTTGGAAATCACCAAATTCTACCTCTTTATAGATGAGGAAATTAAAGCCCAGAGAAAAGGGATTTGCCTGTGCCTTACGGCCATTAGTATAAAAACCAGAATCAGGAAGGCTTTTTCCATAACTCCCCACAATTTACAAGCATTTTGCAGAAAGGTATGGGCATGGAAATGCAATAATCTGGGTGTTTACAGAAAAAAAATTGGGCTCTAATAAGGCAGAGAGACAATAAACCTACAGGTAAGACTTTAGGGATATGCAATCCTTCAATATCTTTGAAGGGCTGAAATAGGCTGGGATAGATGAACCAAAGGGCAATGTAGTGAGTCAAGGTGAGAAATAGCCCACTAAAAAAGGAAGGGCTCTACATAGCCTGCCTTGTTCGACGGAAATTCCCAAACTTATTTCTCTATTCAGAGAAATTTCCTGATTTATTGTCAGTACTATAACAAAGCAGAACTCACACTTACCTCGGGGGCGGTTTCCCTTTGGCCTCACACTGGATTACAATATTCTCCCGAGGGTCAATAATGTAATCTTTTGGAGACTGTTGGGTGATGGTTGGAGGTTGTACCACTTAATTGTAGAAAAAAAAACACACACACACGTAAAAAATAAATCATTTAAAATCATACTAGTAGACAATTTTTTCTGTATCAAAATCACTTACCTTAGACTAAATATGCTTCAAATATTTTTAGTAATTTCTAGTGTAGCAGCACATACCTCAGTAGATATTTCTGCTAAAGGTCTGCTAAAACTGCAAAGTCAAGGCATAACTTTCTTTTGGTAACTATGTGCACCTGCAAAGTCCATTTTCCCACACTAAAAGTTTGGGAAAATAATTATCAATACAAGCCTAATGTTAAGACAGTTTCTTTTCTGATGTAACAATGAGAAATTCTTCTGATTCCTTTGGTTCAAATGATGGTTTTCAAGGAAATTTAAGTTATGAGGTAAATTTGCATCTTTCTTAGGAAAGAGTAACAGACTTAGTTCATTGTGTGCTCATATAAATCAATATACGTTGGGAAAAATTCCATTTGAGAAGTTAATATTAAAAAGACTGTTAAATTAGAGATGTGACATCTCTTATCAGAGCCAGGAGGTAAGAGAATTAGGAACAAAGATAAAAGAGTCTTGCTTAGAAGATAAGTGGAATTGAGAAAGTTCTCTGTCCTAGCAGACAGTGTTTCCATTTCACTCTTCAAAGTGTTATCTGGTCTTTTATTATCAAATCATATGGGGAAACTGTTCTGACCCAGAACAATCTAGTCTGAAGAAAGCTGTATCTGGACCACCAATGCTCTTCAAGGCATTCTAAGGTCGCCATGTCCTTCTTCTCGTGAGATCAGAACTAGTGTTATGACAGGAAGAGACTAAAGAATAATTTATTACAACCTCCTCTTTTCTTACTCAGGGCAGCAAAATGGCTTGACTAGGAAGGCACAATGCAGAGGAGACCTAAACTCTCTCAACTAGCTCCGGGTAGGAAGCCACTGCTTGCACAACTCCATGGAGAGCTGTTTACACAGACCAGTGGTTTTCAATCTGGGGCAGTTTGTCTCTGCCCTTCCAGGGACATTTGGCCATATCTGGAGGCCATTTCCATGTTCTCAACTGGGGTGGTGGTGATAGTGGCATCTTGTAGATAGAGGCCAGGGATGTTGCTAACCATCTAACAACGTACAGAACAATTCCTCACAACAAAGACTTATCTGGTGTCAAACGTCCATAGCGCTGAGGCTAAAAAGTCCTGGGGCAGACGGCAACGTGGTTGGCACCCCTGGAGCTGTGCAATGCAGTGGCCATACTACAGCCTGCTTTCCTCTGCATCCTGGAACTTCCCCCCAGGCCCTCTCTTGGATTCTCACTGTACTTTCCTTTCCTGGTGCATTTGACACTCTGCTTCCCTTAAGTTTTTCATCTTCTGGATCTTCCCTTTCCTCTCTGTCCATAATCTCCTTCCTTTGTGAAATCTTTCCCACTTGCCAACCAAACATTTCTCAAAGCTCAGTAACTGTCCACTATTCTTGTCTCTCTTGTGATTAAATGCTGCTACAGCTAAACGTATCACGTCCACATCCTAAGTTTTACAAATCTACAAACCCAGTGGTGTCCTCTTGTCTTGTCTTCTAGTCTTATTGCCATCCACCAGACATGTCTTACTAAATATCCAAATAGCAGCTAAAGTACAAATCAAAAGCTACCCTCATTACCATCATCATTTATTGTGCATTGTTACATGCAGGATACTGGGCAGTGTCAGCTTCCCTTCCTTTTGGAATATCCCACCCCCCTCGTTGTCTTTCCAGCTGCCCTTCTCACCTCTGTCATGCATATTGAACCCTCATTTTTCTAGCCTCGTCAGTTTCCAATGCTGACTAGCAGTGTGGTCTGATTGTTAAGCACTAGTCTGTTGGTTTCTTAAAGCTTTGAGACTTCGTGCAAATTTCTTAACTTCTGTAAGCCCTGGTTTCCTGAGAGGGAAAATAAAGTTTAAAAGTAGTATCAACTACCTAGGGTAGCTGGCAGGATTAAGAAAATAATTTCTATAAAATTCTTAGTATATACCAGTGCTATAATGGTTCAATAACATCAGCTATCTGAAAAGTATTATCATAATTATTTTTATTCAGACCAGATTCACCTTCAAATGATTCTTCAGGCTCTAGAAATATGGAGTTCCGGATAATGGAAGGAAGTCTGGAATTCCACATCCAAGGAATAGTAGCCATAGGCAGTGGGGGAGGGAATTCTTAGGAGCAACTTGGTTCAATTCCTTGTGCTTTTCTGAGAGTGACACAGGTGTAAATTTGGTGGCTTCAAAGGCAGAGCTTCTATTCACAGGTCTGCAGCTGAGCTGGCTTAGATGCCACTCCTACCTGCCAGGAGTTTACTGTCTGGATGTACCTCCTTCAACAGTGCATAGGTCACCTGGCAATTAACAAATGCTTTGCAATAGTGAAAAGAAAAGTGATTTTGCAAAATTTTCCCAGTTAACCTGACATCAAAGGAAATTATCAAATGCCTAAAAATTGACTGTTTTTAAACAAGGTGATAAATGCCACCTAACTGTCAAAGGCAGTGGAGAGTTTTGCTTAGAGCAAGCTACTCAAACACCATGTGAGTGGGAGCTGCTTATCTTTTGCCCACTTCAAGATAATATTCAAATTCGCTGGGCCAGTCTGCTGATGGCACCTAGAAATACTAGTCTACACAGTTGTGAAGGCTAAAGAAGTGTAAGAGGGCATATAGCTGCTGTCTTCTGTAAAGCTTTTGCCTGCGCCCACCTTCTAAAACACACCAAAAGACCTATCTTTGTTCCAGAAAGTATTTATTAGTCTTTACAACAGATCATCATTCTCTCTAAATTTTGAGAATTTTCTCATTGAGTTACATCAGATGTGAATAAAGCTTGAAAGTTAGTAGAGCAGCATACTGGTAAAAGAAAGAATAATACCCAAGTTTTCAGAATTCATGCAGATAATAATATATATGCTTCTTGGTATTTCAATACAATGCTTAGCTACAGTAAATACACATGCTTAGAAACACAAAGCTCACAAAACATGAAATTGCATATTTAAATCAAAGTATTAATTCATAAAACAAAGACATGGTCAAATTTTCACACTGCCTAGTAATTTATAGAAAGACACTTACAGTCTTCAAGAAGTTTTGCTTTTTCCCCATCAATATCAGCAGGTAAGTGGGCAAAGAGGATTAAAGAAAATCAGATGTTAATAATAAGAACGTTAGAACCCTGAAGATAAATGGGCATCTTGTCTATTTGATTTGATCTAAGAAAACCCATATAGTGAAAGCCGAAGTTGTGAAACTGCAAGAGGAAGAAATTTGCATTAACGATTTCCTTTAATCTTGCAGCGGCTTTCCCACATAAACATATGGAAGAACAAAAGCAATGCTGTAGGCAAAAATGGGTTCTTCCAGGAATGGGAATGGTGAATTCCATTCTATACATATTGTGCTGGACAAGTAATTATGTTCAATTTGAAAAATAGCTGAAATCTACAATTAATTTGAGTTGTCACATACTGTGTAGTGTCTGGTCATATTATCCCAGACATCACTATGCATATGGTAATCACACCTAACAATGGGACATTGCTACAACGACAATGCTCCATGCAAGCCAAGTCCAACACTCATTTTAGGTTTTCATATTTCAATGGTTAATCTCCAAAGTCATTAATTGAACTTTTTAGACTTAGCAGATTTCTGCTTCAGAATTTCTCAATCACCCAGGGGTTACTGGTACCTACATCAAGGAGGTGTTCATGTAGTAGAGAAACAATGTAAGAAATAGGGGCAGGGAAGAAATTACATTAGCATGCAATTCAAATAATTCCACAGTGCTGCCTGTCATTACTACTTGCAAAGGTTAATATAGGAACACCTGGGTTATCCATGACTTTCTTTTCATCATGGTTATGCCTCTTCTCCATTAGCAGTGATAATTGAGTTAGCCGTAGGTGACTGTTTCCCTCTGATTGATAGACTGAACAGTGAGATTAAGGGGGAATATATTTAATATAAGAGAGTACAAAATCATTTCTCTCAAGTGCTTTTCTTTCTCTTTTGTGTATCTGGCAGGGCAAATGCTTACTTAGGCATTTCCACTCCAATGGGCTTAAGCAGTTGCATATTGTTTTTGAAAACTGAAATTAAGGTCATTGAATGCATTAAAAAAAAAAAACCTAAGAAAAACATTGCATTTTATTGTACTTTATAGAAGCACAGCCAAAAGTCGACAAAGTGTGGGACAAACCACATCTCTTCTTAAGGTCTTCCCACTGGCATTTGCAACCTCTATGGCCATAATAAATAAATAAATAAATAAATAAATAAGACATCCCAATAATTGAATAGCCCCCCAGGAAAGTGCTTTTTTGCACCTTGGAAAGCTTGCCAAACAAATGTTCTATTCAGAAAGCTAGTGGCTTCAAAGAGGTCATGCAGATGAGGGATAAAGGAGAAATTGATTCCAAAGTACAGTAATTGCCCAGATTTGAAATTCTGCTTTCCATTGCAGTGAAAGTGACCAGGCGGAACCTAGCATTATCTTTATTTTTCACAGACGGGCCACCTACAGCAGGAGACCACAGTGTATATTTTACTACTAGGAAAGTGGTGGGCTAATCCAGTAGCTGTTGTTTGCTCCATGTTAGTGTTTTTGCAAATTACTTGTATTCTCAGCAGTTGTATTGGCATTTGGCCACAGTGTTTAAACCAAGACTATTTGCTAGGCTCTAGACAAGATGCTTTTCCTAGTTCTAGACTCATATTTAAGATTCAGAATTGGAAAGTGAGATGTGCCTTGTTTGAATCAAGAGAAACGAATTATGGTGTTGTTTAGGGATTCTGAGGGGCATGGAGTTGGCAGAAGGAGTCTCCCCTCATCTTTGCAAAACATCCTCAGCATAGGACAGGAAAGGGTAAAGTGGTGAGGGGATGAATGGGGAGGTCTCCATGATCATTTAAAAGTGGATTATATAGTTTTCTTGTGGGACTGCCTCTCTAAAGAGCCACCTGTTGGGATGATCAGGCAGCTAGTGCAACTCAATCCTTCTCAGGCCATCCCCAGCAGTGCAGACAAAAGGCACATGAGTGGGAAGAAGGAGACCCAGAGGGAGGGAATTTTGAGTCTGACCATTTCAATGGCTACTTCTACAGTGCAAATCTTTAAAAACACCAGGTGCTGAAGGTAAAAGCCAAATTAATTTTGATTAGCTTTTCAGTATCACACAGACACCTTCTCCATTCACGCAGTTCAGAGTGATGGTAAATGCTGGGAGGCTTTGACTCCTGGGCCTAACAGCTTTAAAATGTTAATACTTACGATCAAGAGGTACTTCCAGTGCACTAATCATCTGGCACAGGAAGAGAATCAGGGGCACTCTGCCCGCAGATAAGCGCTTCTTTTTCGGCATTATTTTAAGCTGCATTAGCTTAACTCCTGCTGAGACCCACAAACTGAATTTCCTTTTCTTCTTTCACAAAAGACTTTGTGAAACGTTGTGTGCAATGTTTAAGTAATTTTCATGCAGGAAACTGAAAAAGGATAGAGTAGGAATAATCATTATAATGTATTAAAAAGAAGAAAATGAAGAGTGGAAGTCTGCAGCACAGAGAGCCAGCCCTGTATTATACATGAACTCTAAAAGAAAGTTAACTTTTAAATATTTAACTCTCAAGACTGGAATAATCATCTATTCATAAATCATCTAAAATCAGTTCAGAGATACTAGTGATGTGAAGCAAAATCTGTCTGCCATCCGTATGACTTTTCCATTTTAAATGGTATTTGTATTTCGAGCGTTCAGAGGCTATCATGTCTTTCCCAACAGATCAGGAAAACTTGGCTTTTTAAGGTGGTTAGAAAGCAATCACCTTGTGACTTTAGAGGGGAGGCCTAATGGCTTCTCCATTCTACAGATTATCTCTGGGAAAGTTCGGGGAATTGTTGTAAATTTGCTTCAAAGCCAAACACTGACTTATGGGATGAACACTGACCATTCAGGTCTTCCTCATCTCCCACCTAGATCACAGCAATGAACCTGGCTGGGCTCTCAGTTCGTGCCTTCCTCACTGTAGTCACCCTCCTTCACAGTGCTAATTAATTTTTTCTACTAGGCTTCTTTGGTTAAATAATGGGAGTAGCCTTATGTGATCTCTCAAATAAAGTCCAATGTATCTTTAAACAAGTACTTAAAAACCCCAGTGATCTGGGCTTAATTTCTCCTACAAACCTGACTTCCTTTTATTTCCATATAAATTACCTTTTTGGTTTGATGATTCATTTCTGTTTTTCTTTCTGTGTCAGTCCTTTGATATGCCGCAAATTTTCCTGCCTGCTTGTCTTTGCTTATTCTATTTCATTTGCCTGGAATGCCTTTATCCACCATATTTTCTTATCAAAGTCCATTACAGATCAGTAAAAAGGTCATCTCCAGGAAACATGAGCTGATCACCAGAACTAGAAGTTATTTCACCACCACCCCTGAATCCCTGAAATTCCTTGTTTTAAACATTACATACATTGGTAGATATATATTAATAAATAGGCTGTGAGTGTACACATAAGGTATACATGCTCTCTACTCAGCCAGGCAAGGATTTTGTCTCTCTCATCTTTGTAGCCCTCTCCCATCACCTAATATAGCATGCCTTGCATATTGGAAGTGTCCACTGCATATTGGAGAGTATGAGCACAAACACACTCATAGAACACTGAGATCCTTCCCATAGCAAACTCCTACCTGAAGTAACAGGTTCAATCATGTCCTCTCATTAACGAAGAGAGGTGGGGCAACCAATGTCTCTCTCAAGAAGGTGGGAGGGTTATTATTATTACAAACTGGTGTAGCTCCCACAAGTTTACTGAATACTTTATGTAATTTTTACTTGCATAATTGTGTATTTTTATAATGTCCATCTTTCCCAATAAACTGCACGTCTCCTGAGGGCAGGGATAGGACGATATCTGTCCTATCCCCTACTGTATCCTCATAGCCCACTGCAGCGTCTGGCACATGGTAGGTGGTAAAGAAATATTTGGAGGAAAAAAAATAATAAATGAAAGGAGGAAAGGGGGAAAAAAAGGAGACTTTACAGTCTTTGAAGCTGAGGTTGCATTTGGATAGTCTGGCAGTCATCTACCCAAGGCTGTATTTATAGTTATACCACTTGATTTAAAAACCAATCTCTTGTTAATATGGTCAAATTAGTTGTAAGATCATGTCTGTGTAGAGAATAGAGCTTAAATGTCAACAGGAAAATGAAATAATCCTAATATATTTTGCTAGCAATCAAGTTCTGATTTGAACATGATTAAAATTGTAGTAGCACACTTCTTGCAAAACAAATTTAAAAAGAATATGGTAGGCCAGGCATGGTGGCTCATGCCTGTAATCCCAGCACTTTGGGAGGTTGAGGCGGGTGGATCACCTGAGGTCAGGAATTTGAGACCACCCTGGCCAACATGGTGAAATCCTGTCTCTACTAAAAATGCAATAATTAACTGGGTGTGGTGGCAGGTGTGTGTAATCCCAGCTACTTGGGAGGCTGAGGTGGGAGAATTGCTTGAACCCAGGAGGTGGGGGCTGAAGTGAGTGAGATCGCACCACTGTACTCCAGCCTGAGTGACAGAGCAAGACCCCATCTCTGAAGAAAAAAAAAAAAAAAAAAAGTTAAACAGAAACATTATCCTTACATAAATATTATTTTGTGAATAAAACATCCATACTATGTGGCTTCATTTAAGAGCCAGGAAATGTCTTTCCATATTATAATATCCAAACATTCATTAAGCATTGAGACACAGGTATAAAAGCTCACTCAACCATCTCTGAACAAATACAAATCAGACTATCTTTCTGCATGTGCAAAGCACATCTAGATCATTTAGTCAAATTTAAATAGTTCTCTCATGAGTTTTTGGTTGAAACACTAATTGTAGATTCACATAAGCTTTAGGGAAGATAAAAATAAATGTCACAAATGGCACTAAAACACGTGGATCTTACATATTATATATATTGAGATAAAAGAGCCAAACTCTGAAGAGGAAAACAGTTTATTTGTCTGATTTCTGTGTCATGCTGATGGAGATTATTGAACCTAAGTGCCAAGTTCTCCGGACAGGAGCTGGAGAACTAATACACTTCCCAATAGATGTACTAATAAATTGTAACACTTATAAGATCTAAACAGCTACATACAATTTCTATTGTAAGTTCTTCATGTATTTTGCCTGGATGCATTAACTACATATTCACCCTCCAATATAGAGAAAATCCTTAGATAAATTCATGTAAAAGAAAGTATCAATCAACCTCTATGCTTTTTCAGAGTATACATGGAGTAAACTATTACACATCAAATCACAGTGTTTTATTTTTAAAAATTACGTTTTTTAAAAAAATTGAAAGCACTTACTTAAAGAGACATGAGTAAACAAATCCTCATACTGCTGGGAGGTCATGAACTATGATAACTGAAGATGAGAGCTCTCCTCAGAAGTTTTAAGTTAAACTGCACCATTAGCCACAAATCTTCTCTAGTGTAGGTTCTGTTAGAGGAGGACAAAGCAATGATCCAGCCCATCCTCTACCTCCTGCCCATGGAAAATCACCCACTCCTGCGACGTATGCCCTTATGGGTGAAAGTCCAAATGCCTAAGAACATGCATTAAGTTCCCAGCACTCAATCAAACTGAAAATCAAATAGAGCTATAGAAGATTGAGCTTTCTCTCAGTGAGAGTAATGTACTCTGCACGCTGCACAAAGAAAAACCATAGCTTTGCACTCTCGGTATTGACGTCAATGCCTTGACTCAGTAGGAGCCCATCTGTCTTGTACTTTACCTTGGAAAATGATGGTCATTCTTCATTAAATGAGAATCACGAACTAAAACTAAATTGTTAATGTAATTATACTATAATGAATAAAATCCCAATTTGAAATAGCAGCATGATTTTTAATCAAGGGTAAGGAGTATGTTAGTGCAATATAGCTTACAATGTGCAAAAAATATTTGCCATTTGCTCATTTTATGAGCATGATTGAATATAAGCATGATTGAATGAGACAAACAGTAGGTTCGTCTTCTGAAAAACAGATCACCTTGTTATTTAAAATCACACAAACTGCTAAAAGGACTGAGAGTAATGATAAACAGCAAAGCCTTTTCATAGCTCATTTCATATAACTCCATTCAGAGCAACTTTTCATATGTCACCTATAGAATCTGTGAAACAGAAAGCGGGAAAATCCCTTTCTTGGCAAACTTTTCATCATTAGAAAATAAATGCAATTCAAGGTTCCCTTATTTCTTTTGCCTCAAATTCATATTAAATCACAGAGCAAATATTCCCCTGCATTACTTACTATGTATTTCAAAAGAAAACCCTACAGTTTTGACAAAGGATTCACATCAAACCTGAGAGAAACAGCTCTCCTGTTGCTTACTTAAGAAGTCTTGTCTTTAGAAAGAAAACGAAACCTTTATTTTTCTCTCAAATGAAGGATGAAATTATATTAATTAAAAAAATCAGCTCTCTACCAGAATTTGAAGGCCATGCATTACTTGCCATTTCATTCTGCTCTATTTGGGCTTTTCAGCATCCCAAAATGGGTGGGCTCCACGCTGGTTGAACACATAACATGATCTGTACTCTCCAAGCAGATAAACAAATATGCTTATGTGACTCGATGCCCTTTGACACACTAAATTGCTTGGGTGCCTCATCAGTGACTCGCGTCAGTGACTGGATAACTAAGTGGGTATGACATCATCTTGACCGTGAAAGGCATTTTTCAGCAGTCAACTTGGGGATGGTCACTTTTTATATTTTAAATATTTTCCATAAGGAAGATGTACATGAATGCACACCCCTAGCCCATGCTGTACTTTGCAATTACAGATTTTGAGTCTGAGACTGTGGAGGAAAGGTTAGAAAGAAATGGACAATGATGACTAATAATGAACACATCAACAGAGTTGCAGTTACATCTACACAACCACACGATCATGAATGTACCTCAGAAAAAAGTAGTCTGGGATAACAGGACTATAGAGATGATAATCATCAAACAAGATAAACTGTGTGAAGCTTTAAGGGCCATGTTTATAATTTCTTGCTTGTTTAAAGGAATCTTCCATAGTAGAGCCTCTACCAAGAATTTAGGAACTAGAACCCGGAATAGTACCTAAGGAATGGTGAACAATGAACAGGTGGTTTGTACCCAAATAACAGATGATGGAACAACAACTTGATAATAGCTCAAAATCTCTACACCTTAGAGCACTATAACTAATTATCTTATGTGATATTCATAAAAACCCCAGAAAACAGAAAAACAGGTATTTCTATCCATTTACCAGACAAGGAAAAAATCCAACTGGCCACCATTCACTGAGCCTTTTCCGCGTCCCAGACATGGCGATGGGTCCCCTCCAGACATTAACTTGTCTTCCCAGAAATCCCAGAAGGTAACTTCTATTATATTTCTCAATTGACTGATAAGGAATCCAAGGTGTAGGATGGTTCACTTGCTTAAGGACAAATGATATGTGAAGTACCTGATCTAGAGCTCCAGTTGTGGAATGTTCTGGAGCTTTTAGCCACCTCACACTGCCACACCCCAAGAGATCTCTAGCATTTCCCTCCCTCCTATATCATCTTAATTTGTAATTAGTCAATAAGCAAACAGAATTACCAAGTTTAGTTACTGATGTTAAAAAAAGAAAACTTCTAATGGTTTCTGCATATCTATGGAAGATCTTCACAGTGTTGCCCATGGCACAACTTTAGGAGATTCTTCACACCGGATTCCATGTGAATAGTACCCCATGGACTTCTACTACACATGGGCCCTGGCCTAGTAAAGGAAGAACAATTTTAGATAATGTAGACAAGATGTACTTTAAAAGCAGTCAGTGTGTGCACACGGTACAATATTCATAAAGTACAAAAGACCATAGAGTGCAAAGCAAGCAACCAGCAACCCCCTTTGTCCCTTAGGAAGCCAGCATTCTTACCAAGTTTTGTGAATCCTTCTAGAGAGAGTTCAGGCATAAAGAAATATACAATTATGTTAAGCAATAGTTTAAGGACATTTTAGATTTAGAAAATTATTAAAAAGCTTTTGGGACACTGACGTTAGATCACCAAAATTACCAAGCTCTTTCAATGAAATCTAGTTATTTGCAACACACATGATCATCTGAATACAGGATTTTCACATCTCTTTTACTTAGCACAGCAATAACAAAAAAGAAAATAGAACAATATGAGACAATGATATAACTAAGAGATCTAAGACAAAGGATGAAGCATGGTTAATGAAAAGCTCACGTGTATGAGACGAATAGCAACCCTGATCAACACTTTCAAGGCTTGTCCAGGCAGCTACCTGATGACAGTTGTCAGGAGTGGCTTCAGGGATGAGAAAGCTGATTGGGAAAGGAAAGACGGCTGCGTAAAGAGAGGAAGGAACTAGTTCTTTGCAAAGAACTTCAAAGACGGTGAAGCTCATCCCACCTTCCAATCCAATCAGAATTCACTAAGCAGAGTCGGGAGGGCATTGCTGCACTCTGAATGGCTGCCACGCTCACAGTCTTTCTTCTGCATTGACCTCATCACTCTGACCAAGGCAAAAAGAATCAGGGTGGGTGTTCAGCCTCTGTCTGAACAAAGGCAGGGAGCCGTGTACAGCCTGTGAGTTGACTTGGCTGCTTGAAAGGGACTGAAGAGTGACCAAGTAAGTGGTAACAAATTCCTTTCTCATAGAGAGGGCGAATGTGAGACAGAGAGTGAGTGAGTGAGTCAGCGGTTTGGAGCAGGAACAAAAGCCAAAGGTCAAATCGAGGCAAGGCAGTAGGAGCAATCATGAGTAAGCAAAAGATATGAGGCGTCAAGTACAGAAAAAGGCCAGTGGGCAGCAGAGGATCAACAGCAACAGAGACAGAGAAGGACTGAGTGGTCATGACATCAGCAGAACACTGGATCAGTGATAACAAGCACCTACTACTCTTGCACTGCAATCACCAGGCCTCTAAATCTCTTAGTACCCCAAACAACATTCCAATTCTCTAGGAAGTTTGCCACACTAGTGACTGAGATTGAGACATCTTCCTGTCTTGTGTATTCTACAACACACTTTCATTAGTATGGTAGGTGGTCTGTTGCACTGGTGGCCCCAGGAAGCACTCCTCCCAGTATCCATGCCCTTGCATAATCTCCTTACACAATAAGCTTGGCCGTGTCACGTCCTTTGGCCAGTGGGATGTTCAGCAAGCATTATGTGAACAGAGACGTAATGACCATTTGCACACTGCAGCTTATCCGTAATGTTCCCTCTGGGAAGTATGAGCCATCCTACTGATGATGAGAAGCCAGTGGAAAGACACCCTGGGAGATGAGAGATCATCCTGGACTCTCTGGCCCCAGCTGGGCTCCCAGGTAAAATAGCTGAGCCAGTGACTTGTTAAACTACATGCAATAGAAGAACCATCCTGTCAACCCTCAGGATTATGAGAAATAATAAACTGTTGTTGCTTTAAGTCACAAAATTTGGGAATGGTTTGTTATATAGCCACAGATATCTGCAATGAGTTAAGATAAACTGAGACTGGCTGTTTCTTGCAACCGGAAACATACTAACATGCACATTTAGGAGGACTGATGATCCAAACGTGAAGGTCTCCTTACAAAGTCATGGCTAGAAACACAGGAATTCTAAATTAGTAAATAGTGTGGTGATGTACACTTTTCTTCAAAACTAATCTAACCTTTTCAGTTTTTCTAGATTATTTTCTGTAAATATGTTGGTGCAGCCAAAGGGCACATACTTAACTTACATTTCTCACACAAAACTTATAGTCAGAATAAATAAAAGGTGGTTAACACTATTATTTTAGCATAAATTTGTTTATGCCAAAATATTATTATTTTAGCATAATTGTAAATTATGCCTAATTTATTGTCTTAGGCACTATATTAATTTATTTCTAAAGCAGAATAGCAAAGATTAAGGCAGAGAACAGGATGGAACCTACACTCCAGTAAGAAATTAATCTAGAAGTCTCAGTGCTTAACATAATACAGTTGATACTTGGCCCGTCCTGTTCTCTGCCTTAATCTTTGCTACCCCTCCTACTTTCCCATCTCCGTGAATTATACTAGAACTCTGGCTGATCATGGCCCCAGCTTCTATTCTTCTCACTCTCCCACAAGACAGGTCATCTGGAGAAAGCAGGGAGGAGAGAGGGGAAGGCCAAACCACAGAGACAGGCCTCTTCCTTCCTCACAAGGTCCACTTCTCAGCTGATTCCATTCAGATTAGAAAATAGAAACAAAGATCTATTTAAAACCAAAAATGGAAAGTAGGAAACTGCTCTAAAAGTGAGGTCTGAGAAATGAAAATTTAGTTCTGAATATGGGTCTTCAGAGCAACATATTCAGAAACATTTGTAGAGTCACTGAAACAAGCTCTAGCTCTATTTATCTTCCTGTAAACTGAGATTTCTACAAATAGCACTGAGAAGATGTGAGGATCAGAAACAGT